GCCCCCTCCTCTTTGATCTAGTGTCTTTTATTAAACTGTAAATCATCTCCTTTTTGTGTTTAAGTGCTTACATAATTGTTTATTACTTTTAGACCAATGGTGAGAAATGGTCAGATGTATTACTGGGAACGCTCTCTTCCAAATTCTTTGTCATAAGGACAAAATTTTAAATTTTAAATACATTACAATATGTATATTTTAAATCAGTGGTTATACTTTTCCAAAAAGATCTCTCATTAATTATGAGATTATGTACCTATTTGACCATCTACTTGGGGGTTGGGCGTAGTAATCCTCAGAAAATGCAGGGCACTTTCTTAAATGAAAAGTACTTGCCAAAAGTCTATAGAAAACACCATGTTTAAAAGCAGTGGAATACCAAGGGAGGGCAATGGGTGTGGTCTGCCCAGGGTGCAGGCAACAAGGGGTGCACAACTGTTGAGAATTTTCAAACAATAACACTTACCAAAAGCCAATCTGCTTTTTATTTTCAGTTATAAACTAAAACTCTGTGATAAAGTACTCCACCCTGGAAAATATAGCTGAACATTTGTGGAATTTTACTATTTTGAAAGTGTTTCTTCTTTATTTATAACGTTTAGAAACTTTGGGGGGGAAATTGTCCATTCTTTTCAGTCTCACCTCATCAATGGAAAATGTTGCAAAATGTAGGTGGAAATGTAGGTGCAGGCTGTAAAAAGGCTTTCTCAGACAAGACGGAGTGCTCATTATGAAGCAGCATGTCCATTAAAGGAATTTGAAAAGCTAACTTCAATCTTTGAAGCACTATGTGATCCCAAAGAAAAAATAAATAAAGGAGGATCAGCTCAGATTGTATTGCCTATTATATGAGTTATCTTGTGTTCTGGTGTGAAATTAAAGAGGTTGATTATACACAAGAAATATTTGTAAACAGCCAGAATCAGCCTCAGACAGCATACAGTGAAGTTCTAAGCTGTAGGATTTCTCCCTGAAGATCAGCAGAAATTGTACAGGGGGCCATTAACGCTGCAACTCAAAAAAAAGTAAGAAAATAAACATTTAAATGGGAAAAAATCCACTTATAAATAAGAGTGACTGGAAAAGTGACAGAAATGCTGGTCTTACATTGCTGAAAAAAAATTGAAAGGGTAATTTTTAGAGTTAATTTTCTTCAAGAACTGAACACCATTTCTAAAGCAAAGGACAAAATAATATCAAGGTTCGCTATCATTCAGCCATTTTCTCACCATTAACCATTGTAAAGGCAACCAACAGAGTGGGTCAAGATATTTGCAAAGCTTATAACTGAAATATAAACATAAAAACATTAGAAGAGCTCATAACTAAAATATAAACGTAAAAACTTGTATAGATTAAAAAGAAAATCAATTAGAAAAAGACTACTCAGTAGGAAAATGGGCAAAAGACTTAATCAACTTACCAAAGAAGAAAACCCAATGAAAACAAACACTGAAAGATGCTCAGGAGCCCTGACTGGGTAGCTCAGTTGATTAGAGCATCATCTTGATATGCCAAGGTTGCCGGTTCCACCCGCTGCCCCCCGTTAGGGCACATACAAGAATCAACCAAGGAATCTATAATAATAAAAGTGTAATATGCTAATTAGACCGGACATCCTTCTAGACAACCTTCTGGACAAAGCTGGGGCTGCAAGGGAAGCCCGGGTCCCAGGTGCCGGAGGGAAGCCGGTGCCGGCAGCCAGGGGAAGGAAGGCCTACTCTTGCACATATTTCATACATTGGGCCTCTAGTATAATGTAAGAAAAGAAGTTCAGGCCCGACCGGTGTAGTTCAGTGGTTGAGTGTTGACCCATGAACCAAGAATTCCCTGTTTGATTCCCTGTTGGTGGGGGCACATGCTCAGTGGGGGTTGTGCAGGAGGCAGCTGATTGATGTTTCTCTCTCATTGATGTTCCTATCTCTCTATCCCTCTCCCTTCCTCTCCCTCTAAAATCAATAAATACATATTAAAAAAGAAAAGTTCAAGTCTCAAAGTGAGGGCCTCCTGAAAGCAAAAGGAAGAAACTTCAGATCCAACTACGAAGCAAGTGGTGTTTCTCAAAGCGAGTCAGCATCATCAGGTGGGAGACCCAGGAATTTGCATTTTAACAAGCTCTGCTGGGGGGATTCCTATACACACGGAAGGACTCTGCCTAAAAGAAATATACCCAAAATAGATGAAATTAATCTTGAGCCTTCTACGTTGGGATTTCCATCGAGTTGACTGATAAAATTAAGGGGGACTCCCTAACTCTAAAACAAAACTCACGAAGGATGGGGAGTGTTCAGTCAGATACAACACGCACATTTCTCTATCACAAAATTCACAAAACATTTCAGGTAATACTGTCGACAGCCCTGTGGTGGAAATCTAGAGTTTAAGTTACTTCCAAAGATTCCACAGCTAGTGAGTCATGCAAATGAGATCTGGACCAGGACTTTGATTGCCAGGCAGATGCTCCTTTCCCCTGTGCTGTTGAACATGATGGGGGTTGTGGGTGAAATGGAATTTTGAGGTGGGGGGGGGGGAAGGGAATAAAAAGCACAGAATCTCTAAAAACACTAAGACACTTTTTCTTATCCAACACTAATTGAGTAAATTCAAGCGTAATGAAAACCCTGAACACTGTGTTATATGTACTCCATGACCACATGGGGTATCAGAGTAATACCTACCTTTTCGAAGCACTGAGTTTTTGCATGTTACGCTGAAACCTGTCATGCCCCGCCAGATTAAAACCTTCCCCGAAAGCTGGCCAGTAATGCTGGAAGTGTCCACTCCACAGACCTGCAGTATCAAAAGGTAACAACCAGGCCCTGCCCGCATGGCTCAGTGGTTGAGTGTCTACCTAAGAACCAGGAGGTCGTAGTTCAATTCCCGATCAGGGCGTATGCCCGGGGTTTCGGGCTCAATCCCCAGTGTGGGGGCGTGCAGGAGGCAACCAATCAATGATTCTCTCTCATCATTGATGTTTCTCTCTCTGAAATCAATATATATGTATACATATATATGTATACATATAAATACATATATTTAAGGTAACAATAAGGCTGTTTCACTTCTGTACCTCACAACAAGGATACCTCAGGGAGCTTCCTGGATCTTAGAGAGCCTGATAGGCAAGTCCTCTTTGTGTAGTAGAGGGAGCAATTGGAGGTTATTTAATCGCTGCAGTAACAGTGGGTAAGGAAATGGACTCTGGTGCCAGGCTTCCAGTACAACAGTACAAGCTGTTGAAAATTCTCTGAGCTTCAGTTTCTCCTTTGGAAAATGGGGATGGGGATGCCTACCCTGCTTCAGAGGGCTTTTGTAAAGTTTAAATAAGTTAACATGTAAAGAATTCTTGGCGTATAGCAGTCTATATTATTATTGACATGCTACTATATTAATTTTGGAAAGATCACTCTTGCTTATTGTCTGAAAGGTGATGAATCTAAAAGGGACATGCCATTCCAAACTTGAAAATAAAAATAAGATGATATGATTTGACATAGACACATGCTCTTGTAGGAAGTAAACCAACTGGTCACTACTTTTGATCCCTGAACAAGGTAGGTGGATTCAAAGAGATGTGAACTGGGAAATACATCATTGCTGTGCCCCCCAGGTTGTCCCATTCCCCAGATTCTGTCACCAATAGGTTGAAGGCATATTGTGTTTTAAAGCCCATAACTACATAATTCTGAAGGCGTTTGGCTGGAAGTCCCATATTTCTTTTCTCAAGGTTCAAAAAGGGCCCAACAACTGTGGTAGTATTTTCATGGGAAATATTTTCCAGTCTCCCTTGAGAACAATTTTTCAGTTCTTCTGGGCTGTTAATCATCCTGGCACCCTGTTCTGTTTGCCTTCTGGCATGTAATACTCTTTCTTACTCTCACACCGGCTAAATTCTGATCCTCCTCAAAAACTTGGCTGAATTATTTCCTCTTTAGGCCACTATGGCACTTGGGTCCATTTATGTGCATTAATTTCATGTTGCAATCGTATCTTGCCAGTCTCCATCTCTAGACCATGAGCTCCTTGATAGAAGGGACCGTGATTTTATTTCCCACTTGGAGACACTGCATAGCATGCTAGTTTAGCACATGAAGCCAGGATTTGGGAGTTTAAATCTCACACTTACAGGATGTATACCTTTGAGCAAGTCATTTAACTCTTCTGTGCCTAAGTTCCCTTATGTGTAAAATGGGCCGAATAGTAGTGGCAAATTTAAGTAACTAGCCTTTACTTCTTTTAATTAGAAACCTTTTCACTGAGTTATAGGGAAAATATATATTTTGGGATACATTTTAAAGGTAGCCTAATAAACAAAAGGGTCAATGTTTCCAGGTCAAACCAATGCAGATAACTGTTGGGGTAAAAAAAGAGAGACTTGAAGATTCTGGCAGGCAATGCGAACATCCCAGCAGGCTCTCTCCAGCGTCTTCACGCTGTGTGCCTGCTCGCTCCCGTGATGTTCACAGTCTCTTCAGTTGCTCTTCCTTGTGAGAGGGCTACCTTCTTCAGCCACGCCTGGCATCCCACACTTAGGCTCTGCCAGGGGACTGATCCCCCTTTTAGGCACCTGTCTCTTTAATCCCACACAACTGGGATCGAGCAGGGGTTATGTCTTGTCTATATCTGTGCTCAGATTTAGGAACGACTGATAACCTCAGGCTAATGCTCTCACCAACTAAGTCTCCTGAACGCTTTCCCCCTTCATCAGTCACTCCTTGCCTCTCACTGTTCCTCCTCATCGCCTGCAAACTTTAGAAATTAAGACTCTCAGACCCCGCCCCATTGGGCTCCGTTGTTCCTTCAGCCATTAGCCCCTATGACTTTAAGGCCTTAGCCCCGCCCCATCTCATCTCCTGGTCCCGCCCCTTCCTTCGCTCCGCCTCTTCTTTAAGCTGGAGTCGCGAGTACGCATGCTCTCTCCCAGCCTCCTCGTAGCGTGATGACGCTAGCGTTGGCGTAGTGACGTATGGCGGCTGTTGCTCGCGTTTGGCTGGGGGTCAGGCGTAGGTTTAGGAACCACGCGGGACCGTGGGGCGTCCCGTCTGCGGCACGTGGTTTCCTTTGGGCTCGCGCCGCTCACTGTGTTGTCTCCGCCCCGCCCCCTCGGGGAGAGGGACCCTGGACAGGTTCTTTGGGGGCGGAGCTGCAGCCGCCGAAGGGGAAGGGAGCCACCTGGGAGCTTCGGAGCCCCTGAGGGCCGGGCTGCAGCCCGCAACTGGGGAGTGGCTGAGCCGGGAGGGTCCCCGCAGGCAGGGTCCGAACCCGCTAGGATCCGGGCTGGTGCCGAGGAGGGAGGGCCTGGCCACCCGCGATGCTCGGGGCCCGGTGCCTGCTGCGAGCCCTGCGCTCCTGTTCCTCTGCTCCCTGCCCGAGCCCCAAGCCTTCGGCCAAACTGAGCGTGCGGGACGCTCTCAGGGTCCAGACCGCGAGTGGGGAGCGCGTTAAGGTTCAGGTTGGTGAATGGGAAGGGGATGATGGTGTGTGTGTGTGTGTGTGTTTCTCTTTTTAGTGACTTATATGGCACCTCCACATCTAGGCTTGCCTGGTACTGTCGGGTCAGAGCGACCAGCAGGGGAAGTTAGAAAATGCAGGCAGGCAATCCTGTGCGTTCACACTTTTCTCCTCTCATTGGCTACCATTACTCTCCCCAAAAACTGTTGCGGTGCCTGTAAAGCGCGGGAACTCTGCTCCCTCGGTACCAGGGCATTACCTGTAAACTTGTTAGTCATACAGCGAAATAAACGAAGGAGCCCCTTTCGCCTTTGCCCTGGCAATGAACACCCACACTTGTATGGTGGTTGTGTTGAGCTAGCTCCTTGAGACCAGAAAGCACATCTTACCTGTCCTGGTCTTCCCGCCTGGCTGACCGTGAATATTTGTCCAACTACCATACCTTTAATTCGACGTGTAGCCATCTCAGTATCTAAAGCGAGGCTTTGCATATCGAATGCAATTAGGAAAAAGTGGAGTGTAGCAGCTTGAAAGAGTTGTGGAGTCAAGCCTCCTAGATTTAAATCTAATGGGCATATCACTTAGGTGGCCTACACCTCAGTTTCCTCTTATAAAAATGAAGGTAGTAAGAGTCCTTGAGTGAGATCTAGTCAGTAAATGTTAGCTATTATTTCCCTTGCTAATAATATTTGCAGCAGCTGCACCTAGATTTCCTCTTATAGGAGCAGGCCAAGCAGGGTGGTTTGCGTATCTGGTGGCTGAAATGCAGTGATACAATTACTTTTGTTGTCCTCGCATGGGCTTGGTTTTTTAGCAATTTGAGCAGTCTACCCCTCTGCGTTTCTTTGGGTTTCATATTCTTTCCATGATCCAAATCAAAATCTTTTCTTGAATTCACCTATTAATTTGACATACATACATTAATGATACCTTTTATGTGCTAGCCTAAAAAGGTCTCGACGGTGAAAAGGACTTAGTGCCTAGGTTAGAGGCTTTCATTTTAGTGCTGTGCAACCTAGTGTAGTAGCCGCCTGACACTTGCTCTACTACTGAGCACTTAGAATGTCACTAGTCTGAAATGAGAGGTGCTGTAAATAAATGCCAATTTTGAAGAACAAAAAAGAATGCAAAGTATTTTTGTATTGATTACATATTGTTAATGTGGGCATAATGGGTTAAGTAAAGTATTAAAATTCATTTCAGGTGCAAACCTGAGGTTTGAACACAGTTTGCCTGATGAGCTCAGGCTCTTAAACTCTAAGCTGTGCTCCCTCTTCCTGAGCCTGGCTCATAGTTACAATGAATGAAATAATGGGGAGGGGGCAATCTAGCCTAATTTATCTGGGTTGAGGATGAAGCAAGTAGAAGAAGAATACTGTATATGTTTGGTTAGAAAACATCTGGCAATACGTACATATGGTGGATTTATTCTCCTCCCATCTCCCTCCCTCCCCCATTTAAGTAGGTGGATGGGTATTTTTTCTTTGAAGGAGCTAGAGAGCAAATCAGAAAGCAGTAGATGCAAGGCTTCCTTTCTAACTTTTGTTTCTAAAAGCCTAAGTCAGTAGAATAACTGAGTTTGCAGAGGAAGCAGTAAAGAAAGGGGGGGTTATTAAATTAATTTCATGTTTCTTTTTATTTTGTTTTAAATACATTTTTATTGATTTCAGAGAGGAAGGGGGAGGAAGAAAGAGAGAAACATCAATGATGAGAATCATCTGTCGGTTGCCTCCTCTATGCCCCCCACTGGGGATTGAACCTGAAACCTGGGCATGTGCCCTGCCCAGGAATTGAAAGTGACCTCCTGTTCATAGGTGGACACTCAACCACTGAACCACACTGGCTGGACTGTTTCTTTTTACTTTTAATGTGACCATTACGAAAATGTAAAATTACTTATGTGGCTCACATTATATTTTTGTTGGACAGTCCTGGTATGATGGCTAAAACAAGTAATTACAGCAATATGATAGATATTAGTGGCATAAATAATGAACTTGGAGAAAACAGCAAGGGAAGTCCTTAACTGTGTGAGGGGGTCAAGGAAGGCTCTTTGTCTATAGGGTATGGTAGGGACACAGAAAGTAAGGGTCAGTACAGTCATTCCCCACATAATAATGTTCTCATCAATGACAGATCACATAAAAGGCATGGTCCCATCTATATATATAAAAGCCTATGTGAACTGTCGACTAGTGGCCTGGTCACTATGATGTGCACCGACCACCAGAGGGAATGCAGGAGCTGCCCCCTGGTGGTCAGTGCGCTCTCACAGTGGGAGTGCCACTCAGCTGACTGATGTGCACCAGGTGCAGGGCTCACGGCTGGCAAGCTCAGTTGAGGCAGCACAAGCCTCTCCCGTAGACACACCCCCTGCACGCCCCTCCCCCATCCGGACTGGAACCAGGATGAGGACTGACTAGCAGGAGCCTGCAGCTGCTTCTCGGTCATAGGCACGCTGATATCACCCTAGGACAGTCACACAGAGAGAGCAGCAGAGCGGCAGCGAGCCTATCAACTGGTGACGGTGGCAGGTTCAGCGGGGCCGGGATGAGCAGGAGCAGCACGTGGTGTTGGACTGCTGGTTTTGGCCAGGGACGCCAAGGGACCCCAATGGTGCACAAATCCGTGCACTGAGCCTCTGGTTCGAATAGTTGCTGTGATGCACACCAGGGGGTAAGTTAGCTTACTGCAGAGGTCTGGCTGATCGGGACTGGGCAAGACGGGCTGGACATGCCCTGGAGTCCTCCTATGGTCCCTCCCTGGCCCTTATTGTGCACCGGTGGGGTCCCTCAGCCTGGCCTGTGCCCTCGTAATCCAGGACATCTCGGGGGGTGTTGGAGAGCCGGTTTCAACCTGATCCCTGTAGGCAGGCTGAGAGACTCTACCAGTGCACAAATCTGTGCACTGAGCCTCTAGTAAGATTATAATGGAGTTGAAAAATTCCTATCACCTAGAGCAGTGGTCGGCAAATTGCGGCTCGTGAGCCACATGCGGCTCTTTGGCCCCTTGAGTGTGGCTCTTCCACAAAATACCACATGCGGGCATGCACGTACAGTGCGATTGAAACTTCATGGCCCATGCGCAGAAGTTGGTATTTTGTGGAAGAGCCACACTCAAGGGGCCAGAGAGCTGCATGAGGCTTGCAAGCTGCAGTTTGCTGGCCACTGACCTAGAGACTTGGTAACCTGATAACAGTCGTAAGGCAACCCATTGCTCCTGTGTCTGTGGTGATGCTGGTGTCAACAAACCTACTGTGCTGCCAGTTGTATAAAAGTATAACACATATAGTTATGTGCATACTTCTAAGGATGATAAACGAATATGCTACTGGTTTATGTATTTACTATGCTATACTTTTATTGTTATTTTAGAGTATACTTTTTCTACTTATAAAAAGTTTGCTGTAGAATACTTTTTCTACTTATAAAAAGTTTGTTGTCATGTTACACCTGCCGCAGCCTCATACATCTTCCATCTACCAAATCTCTTGATTGCATCATTTTCTTTTGTGCTTGATTTAATCTCCTGTTGTTTTGTGCAATAACATGTAGGTGTTTAGTAGCTATATTGTCTAGATTTAAGTGCAGTCTATGATGTTCTTACAATAAACAAGTTGCCTAACAATGCAGTTCTCAGAATATATCTCTGTCGTTAAGTGGTACATGATTGCACAGTTTTTCTAAATAGGATCATCTTGCTTTTCCCAGGCTTGTTTGATAGTTAATCAAACACTATCAATTGTTTCACAATTACTCAATGACTACTGGAGGAATATTCCCCCTTAACTTTTCTGCTAGGTAAAGTTAAGCTAAATGTGATTGGTGAGAGAGCTGTTTTCAATGTTAATTGGCCTACCTGAAGACATTTCATTTGTATTCAAACCAACCTGTCATTTAAATTCAGAGTGTCTGAAAATTTGTGTGCTACTTAATGTGTTCATACGGAGAAGTTTCTTGAGAATGCGTTGTGTGGTATTTTGTAAAGGGAAAAAAAAATCCCATAAAGATGCTTCTAGTCTATAACTACATAATTTCCCTTCTTGGAATTTGATATAAAAGGAAAAAGAGACAAAAATAAGTGCCCTATTATTCATAACCCAGTTAAGGGGGCATAGGAACAGGAGAAAATATGTGAAATAGCAAATATTGGGGGGATTGGTTATGTGAATTAGGCTCTCAACCTAATGGAATGTCAGGCATGTATTCAGAATGATGAGCTTTATTAACAAAAGGAAACAAAAGGTGGCATGCCAAAGCTCTATCTTACTGTGATAAGAACCAGATCAATTTTATATATGCACTAGAGGCCCGGTGCACGAATTCGTGCACTGGTGGGGTCCCTAGGCCTGGCTGCTGATCGGGCCAGTCGGGGCTGATCGGGGCCGGCCAGCCAGGGGGGAAGGACTGTGGGAGGTTGGCCAGCTGTGGGAGTTTGGCTGTGGAAGCACACTGATCTCCAGGGGGCAGCTCCTGCATTGAGCATCTGCCCCCTGGTGGTCAGTGCGTCGTCATAGTGACCAGTCGTTCATGCGACTGGTCATACCGGTCACTTAGGCTTTTATATAGATGGATAGATATGAGTGAACTAAAAGCAACTGATTTGTTAAGGCAGGATTATGAGGACATTTTCCCCTGCATTCATTTAGTTTTCTATGGGTATGTGTAACGAAAATGTAAAATGTTAACATGCTTTAAACTCACATTTAGAAAGAAATATTTCTCTTCATTAGGGATGGGTTCGTTCAGTCCGATCCCAGAAGGAAGTCTTGTTCCTGCATGTAAATGATGGGTCATCTTTGGAAAGCCTTCAGGTTGTAGCAGATTCAAACTTAGAGAGTAGGTGAGTTGTTTCTTCAAGTGAGTCCTTTGATTCTTTTTTCCCATGTCATCTGCTCCCATTCCCCAGTCCAGTGTTCACATTGCACCCTGTGTGACCTTTCTAAACACATCTGCTTCACATAGCGTGGAGGCTCAAGTTCATATACTCAGAATCGAGATCCTTCAAGCATGGGCCTTTCCTCCTCTAGCATCTTCATGTGACAATATCCCCCACCTCTCCTTTACTTCAGTCTCTCTTAACTACCTGCAGTTTTTAATCTAATTAAGGGTAAAATGGAATATTTACCCTTATATGTCATTAAATATTTTAATATTTTGATAGCAAGGTTTATATCATAATTCGGGTTGGGTATAATGCTATCTAGTTTATGCTGTGTTTTGTTATTATAGAGAACTAAATTTTGGATGTTCTGTGGAAGTTCAAGGGCAGCTGGTAAAAAGTCCATCCAAAAGGCAAAATGTGGAACTGAAGGCAGAAAAAATTGAAGTTGTTGGAAATTGTGATCCCAAGGTATGTTTTCTGACACTTTTATGGAGGCTGTTTGGGCTTAATTAAAAACATTAGCAATTTGTTTTAAGTGTGATTATTGGGAAGAAGGTACTTAGAATGTGTTTTGATTGTGACTTTCCAGGTAATTGAAACAGGCAGTAGAGCTTAAGGTATGTAGGGAGAGTAGCAAAAAGTATATATGTAGATGGCTGAGCCTGATAAGTGAGAGCTAAATATTAGTCTGTGCATCTTTGTGGTGCTTGTCACAGTTGAAACTTGCCACTTTTACAAGCATGCCCAATGACAGAGACCTACCAGGGCAGACCACATTCTTATCTAGAATCGTTACATCTAATACAGTAGCCATTAGCTACCTGTGGCTGTTTAATATTAAATAAAATTAAATAAAAGAGTCCATTCCTCAGGGTCATTAGTCACATTTCAAGTGCTCGGTAGTCACATGCAACTAGTGGCCACCATACTGGGTAGCACAGATACAGAACATTTCTATTTATCATAAAAAATTCTACTGGACAGTGCTAGAGTATTGTAATGCTTGGGCTGAACAAAGAAACTCTGGAAGTAATTTGGAACTCAGAGAGGAATGGAAATAATAACAATTTTTGTTTTTCCTTTTTTAGGGGGACATTTTAATGGCTGTTAAAATTTTAATGGCTATTAACATTTTACCATATGCTTTACTATTCTTAAATTGTTCTCCCTTGTCTTCTGCGGGTGTTGATGCCTTCACCTTCTCCTTCCCTTCATTTTTGGGTCATTTTTAAGTATTCAGATATTAAGGAATTCTGAACCCCTAACAGCCCCCAGATTTCTCTTAATGTGGTCATATAATGTAGTTAATGTAGTAACTGTGGTGCTGATTTCTATACAGTGTAAATTAATATGTGCACAAGGCCGAAAAGGAATAGACAAGTCTAATAGGCTACCAGTGTAGCTCTCTTACTCAGCTTCTTTGTTGAAACTGTAGTTTTGATCTGAACATTTGTTTCTGTCTTAATCTTATGAGTATGGGTAGGAGTGGAAATACTTCTAGGTAAATCATAATTTTCTTTAGAAGTTTTGTAAATATACACTACTCTGCCAGATGACAGAAAGCTGTTGACCCTTCCTCATATACTTAGATAGCAGTGCCTGTTGGTAAACAGTGCTTAAACTGTGTCAATTGATTATGAATGATTGCGGACTTTCAAGACATTTGGGTGATTTTAAAATTAAATAAATACCAGCAGTGTGTACTTAATATCTTTATATCTACAATATTATAAACTCCTGTGTGCCAAAATAGATTCTTTTGCATATTTATATCCTAATCTCTCTAATTGTAAGTAGTGGTTGATAGCTAACAGATAGAAATTTGGTAAATAACAGATTAGCATCGGTGACATTAGTGATTTGCCCATGGTTCCACAGCTAATAAGTAGTAGAGTAGAATTCAAAGCCTCATCTCCCTGATTCCACCCCACCACCATTCTACTTGGAATGAATGAGGTCTATATTCAGTTATATTAAGAAATAAAGAAGGAAAACATCTTAGTTTTGTTCTAAAGCACTACTATTTTGAAAATGCCGTGGAAACTATCTTTTTATAGCTTCTAATATTTTTTTTCCCCATTTATTGGCAGGATTTCCCTTTAAAATATAAAGACAGACCTCCTCTGGAGTATCTGAGACAATTTCCTCATCTTCGATGTAGAACTAATGCCCTGGGTTCTATACTGAGGGTTCGCAGTGAGGCCACAGCTGCTATTCATTCTTTCTTTAAGGTAAGATGTTTTGCTTCTCAGTGGTCTGCCTTGTAATGAAATTGAATAATGGTAACACTGGAATATTATCCTGACCATACCCTTTACTCACATGGTCCTTTTTTGGGGGGTTGATTTAAAAATTTTTCTTTGTCACTGGTTCTGAGCAATTTGATTATGATGTGCCTTGGTGCAGTTTTCTTTATGTTTCTGGTGTTTGATGTTGTTGAATTTCTTGGATCAATTCTTTTTTATTTTCAACAAAGTTTTCAGCCATTATATTTTCAAAATTTTTTATGTTTCTTTTCTCCTTTAGGGACTTCAGCTACCCAAATATTAGACCCTTCGATGATATATCCAGAGCTCACTGATGTTCTTTTCTTTCCTTTTTTAAAATTCTTTTTTTCTTTGTGTGTTTCTTTAGGATGATTTGTATTGCTGTGCCTTCAAGTTTATTTATCTTTCCTTCTACAACACCTAATTTGTTATTTCTATCCTGTGTTTTTATCTCACACATTGTAGGTTTCATATCTAGATGTTTGATTTGGACCCTTTAAAAAATATATATCTTCCATTTCTCTACTTAACTTTTAAACATATTCAATATAGTTTTGAACATATACAATGCAGTAAAAGGACTGTTTTTATGCCCTATTCTTCTGATTTTAACATATCTGTCAGTTATGAGTCAATTTTGATTTGTTAATCTCATTATGGATTATGTTTCCCTGCCTCTTTGCATATCTGCAAATCTTTGGTTAGGTGTTAGACATTGTAAACTTCAAGTTTCTTACCCTTTATTCTAGTATGCGGTTATTTGAAAACTGTTTGATGCTTTGGGTTTTGGTTTTAACTGGAGAAGTTCTCAGTTTAGGACTAATTACTCCCCACCACAGAGGCAAAGCTTTTCTGGGTCTCTACCTAATGCCATGGGAATTACGAGCTTTTCCAATCTGGCTTGTGGTTTCAGACACAGTTTTCAGCCACACGTGAACACTAGGTACTGTTTCCTCTCATCTTTTTGGGTAGTTCTTTCTCTGGCCTTGGATGGTTTCCCTATCGAGCATTTGCTTTATCATTCCTGTACCTGATACTCCAGGTGAGCCTCTACACATCTCTGGAGTTCTCTGCACAACTCTCTCCTCTCTGGTACTCTGTCTTGAATTTTAGCCACTTTTGTCTCCTGAGACTCTCAGGGAGTCTGCTGGGCTCCACTTTATTAACCCCTCTCCCTGCCATGGCCTGGAAAACCTCAAGATAGTAAGCGGGGCTGCTGGTGGGGTTCACTGTGCTTGTTTCCATCTCTCAGAAATCACTGTCCTTTGTTGTCTGATATTCAGTGTCTCGAAAACCATTCTTTCATGTGGTTTTCTTGTAGGATTTTTTTGTTTTGTTTTTGTCTTTTTGGTTTTTCAGGTAGGAGAGTAAATCTGGCCCGTTTCTCCATCCTGGTCATAGACATATTTTATATATATAGTTAGCGCAGATTTTGAGTTACTGATGTTGATCAAGTAGATTGATCTAATGACTTAAAAGACATTTTGTCTAGTTTGGTTTTGCCTTTCTGCCATTTCCCCCACTGGGGAAAGCCACAGTGAAATGTCTTTGGTAAATTGCTGAGGTGAAGGGACCCTTCCCCTGTGAATTGGGGCGGGGGGTGGGGGGGTGGGGGGTGGGGGGGGCGGGCAAAAGGCAAGGAGTGATCCAGAAGATAAAGCTAAGCTATTCCATGCGCTTTGGAACTCTTCTTATGCCACTTCTTCAGATCCAGCTAATTTGCAGGGGTTGTTTAATAGCATACCCTTCCTTGTATCCAAATTCAGGCCTTGACGTATTGTAGCATGCCAGGAGAGTCCTTGCACTTTAATAAGCTCCTTCAAAGTTGGTTTCTGGTTTAAAAAAAAAAGCTAAGGAGCATCATGACTTTAAAGCATATACTGTACTTTTGAATAAAGGAAAATAAATCACATTATACAATATCATCCCATTCTAGTTTGAAAGGAGGCATTTACATATATTCTCATAAACTTTCTTATACAACTGCCATATAGTTTTTCAGTAGTCCTTGAACCACAGAACAGAAAATTGGTTCAGATTTTAAAATGTTTTCCACTCCTATGGCTTTAACAGCTGGTAAAGTTGGACCATTTTAATTCTGAAAGTTTTATAGATTTTGGCCACTAGGTGGTGGTATTGGCAGTCCATTGACAAGTGGGCTTTACCTACTTTATATATAATTTCTTTACTGAAGCTTTTGCAAAAATGTAAGCAATTTAAAAATAAGTGAAGAAGCTAGAAAAAAATCTGAAGTAAAAAAATGAGCAAAATAAAATTTAAAAAAGATACTTTAAGTAGTTGAAAAGAAATTTTAGCACTGCTGGTAATAGCTATAAAGTAGGTACTTATTGTAAAGATCTGAAAAATATAATCCTGATACCAACTCCTATAATGTTACCCATTGTTCGTGAGACAATGGGGATTGAATTGTTTAAAGAAATCACAGGAGAGCAATAGTCATATTAAATAATCGTTGTATGTTTTCTAATATTTAGTACTATTTCTGTGAGTTGTTAGTTTAGGCTCCCAAAAAAGATGTTAAAGCTTAAAATGTAGCCCTAACCGGTTTGGCTCAGTAGATAGAGTGTCGGCCTGCGGACTGAAGGGTCCCAGGTTCGATTCCGGTCAAGGGCATGTACCTTGGTTGCTGGCACATCCCCAGTGGGAGGTGTGCAGGAGGCAGCTGATTGATGTTTCTCTCCCATCGATGTTTCTAACTCTCTATCCCTTTCCCTTCCTCTCTGTAAAAAATCAATAAAATATATTTTTTTAAAAAGCTTAAAATGTAAAATCTTAATAAATTTCAAATCTAAAAATATAGGAAAAAATAAACTTGAGTGGTACCTTTTAATTAGGGTACTTTAAGCATCTAGAGTTATTTATTTGGGGTTGAATATCAAAAGTATTTTGTGTATAACTTGGTTTTCTCATAAAATTGACACATTTGCTGTGTACTAAAACTTGGCTATCTAGAATCCTCAAGAAATGAGTTATTTAGAAGAACCGAGTTTCTCAAATAACAGGATTATCTCTTGAGGCACCAATTTTTCTAAATAGCAGTGGTTATTCTCCTCCAGTGGGTTGCATACTTCCCTGGCTTCCTAAATTGAGCCAGAAAACGCTTGCCCTTTCTTGATGAGTCAAGGGTCTTCCTTTGAGCATCAGATTTTTCCCTCTTCTGAATGGCAGTGCTTTCAAAGCCTGCCCAGTGTGGAGGAGTATTCCTTGCCCCTGTGTTGAATGACCTGACTACTGTGTCTTTGAATTCCTGTGATTGCTTTCTGTGGATTTTTTTTCTCCTTTTACTTTTACTTTTAGTTGCCAGTGGTGTGCTTGTAACTAGCATTGGTTGCCATATTTTGTTGTTGTTCATTCTGATAAATAAGGATACTTATTTTGGGGTGTGTGAAAAAAAAATATAGTCCATGAGTCATTGAGTGGTGTCTGTGGGCCTTAGTATACCAATGTGTGTGTGAAATCATTACCTGTCATTTTCAAATGCTCAGTGCCTTATAACATAGTTGGTTCTACAATGTGTATCTTTCAAAATATTTAGGTATTTAGAGGTAATGGGTGCAATCTGAAAAATTGGATGAAAGTGCTTTTATTTTTGGTTCCTTGTCTGGCCTTCATACCTTCAAGTAGGCACCACTCTGCTGTGGGAGAGTCAGTATCTCACACTGGACCCTCGTTGGAGCAGCTCCTGGCAAGGCTCCTTCACTCCTTGCTGTTTATTTTCCATTTTATCTTTCTGCTTCCCTATCTCCTTTTTCATTTTTGGACTTTATTCTCAATGCTTTATTATTCTTCCTTTGTACCCTTTATAGCTTTTGGCGGTAATGTTACAGACTTTGATACGATAAGCCTTGCTACAGCATTAAGCCTTAAAAGGTTAGGTGACACCTTTTGAAAAGTTTAGCATTAATTAAGTATTAAGAATAATTCCCAGTACTCAAGTGATTTTTTTTTAAAAAAAAAACCTCATACAGTTATTTTCGTAAGATTTACAGTGTTGTTTCTTGTGGCAGTTGACCAGTTCTAACTTTGGTGATTATATTTAACCGTTAAATTTTCTCCTCCCTCTTCCCCACCCTCATTTCCTTTGGATTTTTCATTTCCTTTCTTTGTTTACTGAGCTCATGCTTGTAGTTGCCTGCATTTGTGTGGAATAAATGATTCATGTCCATAATTCTTGGCTCCTGATAGATAAAAATTTTATGCAGTAATGTTGTTATTGATTATTTTTCATTCGTTCTCTATAATGTGCCCTGCAGCACCTCTAGGCATGTTGCTCCCAGATTAAGTACATATTTGAGTACTTTCTAAAACTCCTAATTTAGAGTTTGAATATTTAATCTTTCTGCATCATAAGGCAAGTTGTTAACTCCATACTTTGTATGTTAGCCAGAATACTTTAACCTTTTTATGAAGGAGCGGGGCAAACTTGGGAGGTCTCTGGTAACAGCCTGAGACATTTTATATTCCACCAGTGATAGGCAAAATTTAGCAGAGGTTAGAAGTGTATTATATGAATTTATTGTGTTGGTTTCAAGACCACAACTTTTCCATGAAACACATACTATTCTGCCTTTGCAGCCTAAGTCCCCTTTAGTTACCTCCATCTCCACCCTGCACTGTTTATGCTGAATGTAACCTTTTGCCTATATCCATAGTCAAAAATGAAAGAAGCTTAACCTTGAAGTTGTTGGGTTATTTCAGACCTACTAGCATCAGCTTTTGTGGTTCACTAATGGAAATAGTCTCAGACTTTGGAGCGGAAAAATTTCAATTGGGCGCCTCAGTAATGGATGGATTTGCTGCTCAGAATCTTCCTTGAGGCAAAGGAAGTGCACTGCCTGTGCTGTGTACAGCTCTCTGTGCCATCAATTTAATGACAGACTTCCTAAAAATCATTTCTGCCTTGTTTGCTGTTCATTTTTTTAGTCCCTATTTGTCAACCTTAATTTTTCTCCTTTTCAGTGGTTTGTTACAATTTAGGATCTCATTGCAAAATAATTGAACTTTACATTGATCACTTTGTATTCCTTTAGCAATGTGGGCAACATTATTATACATTAACCTTGAGTGGGTTAGTGTGTGTGTGTGAAATCATTACCAGTAGTTTCAAAAAGTGGAAGAAGAAATAGTACCAGAGGGAGACCTTGAAGACCAAGGTTCCAGTCCTGGGTTGCCACTGGCTAGCTGTGTGACTTGGCAATTCATTAAATCTTTCTGGACTTCAATTTCCTTATCTTTGAAATTAGGAAATTGGACTAGATAACGTCTAACTCATTTTTTAATTGAAAATTATTTGTGCTTCTATTCATAGTAAAAACAGCTTGATATTTCAGTAGTTTTATTTGGGGAGTTAGGGAGGAATTTGATATGGCATTCTCTTAATGCTATTTTAATAGTATGATCTGTGTTCTTGGAATTTTTTCAAATACAAATATACTGAAAAGAGTGGCTTTTCTCTTTCTTGCAGGACAGTGGCTTTGTGCATATTCATACTCCAATAATCACATCCAATGACTGTGAGGGGGCTGGAGAGCTCTTTCAAGTTGAAGTAAGTTGTGCTTCCCATCTTAGGGGATATATTGCTCTCTGATATTTTTCATCTGAGGGTTTGTTTTACATTTAATAAGGGTTATGTGGAGAGACCATGACCAGAACCTGAAAATTTGTCAATAATAATACTTAAAAAGACATAGGTAGAAATTCAAACTTCTCTAATTCCTGTCCTACCAGCTTCATTACTTACATTGTGACTAAAATAAGTAGATTTTTAGTCTAGTACTCCATTTGCTTTTCTTATATATCTATGAATTGGTGAACTGAAGAAATTTGAAGAGATTAATAAAGATTCTGAGATATCCTTTGCGCAAATGCAACCCCCAGTTAATATTTTTGGATATGTCATATTTTAAAAGATAAATTAAAATAGAAAAGTATACATGTGAGTATATTCTTTCTCAAGGTCTTTAAAAACTACATTTTTCATAAGAAATGATTCATGTTCTATACACTTCACAAAGGCTCTTATTTTAATTCTTTATTCAGCAATCGTTTTTTGAGCTCCTAATAAGTTCCAGGCATTGTCAGCCTGCCTGTGAAGGTCATTTAAAATTTACCAGTTTTTTTTACTTGTGGGCAATTGAAAACCCTTTCATTTACCAGTCTGCCATCCTGCTTAAAATCATTGGCCAGTAGTATAATGGACAAAAAGAAATAGATGTGGATGAGTAGTAGCTTTTTTTATTTCTTTCATTTACTCACTGATTTCTTTATCTCTGAGAAGTCAAGATTCTTTTCACACAAGACATATATAACTGCTCTCACTAGTTCAGTATGTTTTCATTCTTCTTTAGGATTTTAACTGCAATTGACATATAAAATTAACTATTAAGTTTCAGGCGTACAACTTAGTACTTAGACATTCACATAATGTACAAAGTAAGTCTAGTTCCCATCTGATACCATACATAGCTATTACAATACTATTGACTGTAGTCCCTCTGCTGTACTCTACATCCCTGGGACTATTTTTAAAACTGGCAGTTTGTATTTCTTAATTCCTTTACCTTTATTATCAGCCCTCCAACCCCCCTCCCATCTGGCAACCATCCATTTGTTCCCTGTACCCATGAGTTTGTTTCTGTTTTGTTTGTTCATTTATTTTGTTTTTCAGATTCAACATATAAGTGAAATTATATGGTATTTATCTTTCTCTGACTTATTTTTCTTAGCATAATACCCTATAGGTCCATCCATATCATTAAAGTGGCAAGATTCTTTTTTTATTGCTTAGTAATATTCCATTGTATATATGTGCCACATATTCTTTATCTAATTATCTATCAATGGACACTAGGGTGCTTTCATATCTTGGTTATTATAAATAACTAGAGGCCTGGTGCATGAAATTCATGCATGGGTAGGGTCCCTAGGCCTGGCCAGTGATCAGGGTAGACTAGGTTCCCTGCCTCCCGGCCTCCCGGCCTCCCTGCCTCCTCGCCTCCTCCTTCCCTCACTCCCTCAGCACCCTGCCGCTGCCTGGTGATCATGTCCCGCCATGTTTCACGCCGCCCCCCGGTGGTCAGCGCATGTCATAGCGAGTGATCGAACTCCCCGTCTGCCAGTCGACCTCCTGAGGGGACAGTTTGCATATTAGCCTTTTATTATATAGGATGCTGCAGTGAATATAAGGGAGCATATATCTTTTCAAATTAGTATTTGGATTTCTTCAGATAAATATCCAGAAGTGGAATTGCTGAATCATATAGTAGTTCTGTTTTTTCTTTTTTTGAGGAGCCTCCATACGCTTTGATAGTGGCTGCACCAACTCACAGTCCCACCAACAGTCCACAAGGGTTCCCTTTTCTCCACATCCTCACCTATACTTGCTTGTTGATTTATTGATGATAGACATTCTGACAGGTGTGAGGTGATATCTCATTGTTTTAATTTGCATTTCTCTGTTGATTTGATTTAGTGATATTGAGAAACTTTTCATATGTCTATTCAGGTCCTCTGCCCATTTTTTATTGGATTGTTTCTTTTGTGTGTATGGGAATGTCTTAAGTTGTACTTATATATTTTGGATATTATCCCCTAATTGAATGTATTATTGGTGAATATCTTCTCTCATCCAGTAGGATGTCTTTTTGTCTTGTTGATGGTTTCCTTTGCTGTACAAAACCTTTTTAATTTGATATAGTTTCATTTGTTTATTTCTTCTTTTATTTACCTTGCCTGAGGAGACATATCCAAAAATATTTGTATTGCTACCAGCAATGTCAGCTATGTTTTTTCTAAAAGTTTTTTGTTTTCAGGTGTTAAATTGTAGACTTTAATCTGTTTTGAGTTTAGTCTTGTATATGGAATAAGAAAGTGAGTGTTAGCATCTGTATATATGAGTTCAAAGAAGGTAGCAAATGATACATTCAGCCTATTGTATCCACAGGTTCTGCATTCACAGATTCAACCAACCACAGATTGAAAATGTTCAGGAAAAAAGTTCTGTTGTTGCTATGTATTATGTCGTTAGGCCTATGATGGTTTCATCTGTACTGAATATATACAGACATTTTCCTTGTCATAATTCCCTAAGCAATATAGAATGACAACTATTTACATAGCATTTACATTGTATTAGATACTACTCATAATCTAGAAATGGTTTAAAGTATATGGGAGAATGTGCATGGGTTATATGCAAATACTACACCATTTTATTTTTTTTAAATATATTTATATTGATTTCAGAGAGGAAAGGAGAGGGAGAGAGAGAGAGATAGAAACATCAATGATGAGAGAGAATCATTGATAGGCTGCCTCTTGCACACCCCCTACTGGGGATCAAGCCTGCAACCTGGGCATGTGCCCTTGGCTGGAATCAAACCTGGGACTCTTCAGTCCACAGGCCTATGCTCTATCCACTGAGCCAAACCGGCTAATAAAACCCTAATAAGCAAATAGACCGAACAGTGGAATGACCGGCAGAATGACCAGTCACTATGATGCGCACTACCACCAGGGGGCAGATGCTCAACGCAGGAGCTGCCCCCTCATGGTCAGTGCGCTCCCACGGGGGGAGCGCCACTCAGCCAGAAGCCGGCTCACGGCTGATGAGCACAAGGAGCGGCAGCACTAAAGAGCGCTAAGGAGCAGTGAGCCAAGTGCTAAGGAGCAGCGAGCAGGCGGGCAGTAAAGAGTGAGGGGTCCTGGACTGTGAGAGGGTGCTGGCCGGGCTGAGGGAGCCCCCCCACACACACACGCCAGTGCACGAATTTTGTGTACCGTGCCTCTAGTTTTATATAAGGGACTTAATTGAGCATCTGTAGATTTTGGTATCAGCTGGGGGTCCTGGAACCAATCCCCTGCAGATACTGAGAGAGTGTATATATAAATTATAAAAATACATTTTTTCTAGGTGTTTGTGTTATTAGTTTTCTGTTTGCAATTTAACTGAATATTGCACCTTGTTCTGAATATTGAAGTGAAGAAGAATCATTTACCTTAAATATCTTTTATAATCCCTAAACCACTAAATATTAAAAAGTAAGTGACAGTGAATGGAAGGTATAATTTAAAGGGTTTTTTTGTTATTGTTGTTTTGTTTTTACCAATAAGAAGGGAATTATTAAAGAGATCCAAATTAAATTAAAAAATCTGTAACTAATTAAAAAAGTGATAAATTTGGAAATAACTGCTTTGCTACCATAAACAAGACTAAATAATTAATTACAGTATGTGTATTGTGGCCTCTAAACAACACAAGGTAAGTTATCAGTTAAGGTAAATACATAGGAAGGGGAAAGTATCCTATATAGTAAAAGGGTAATATGCAAACTGACCCTAACAGCAGAAAGACTGGGAATGACTGGTCACTATGACACACTTTGACCAACAGGGGGCAGACGCTCAATGCAGGAGCTGCCCTCTGGTGGTCAGTGCGCTCCCACAAGCCAGGCTGATGGCTGCCAGTACAGCAGTGGTGGTGGGAGCCTCTCCTGCCTCCTCAGCAACACTAAGGATGTCTGACTGCAGCTTAGGTCTGCTCCCCGCTGGCAAGTGGACATCCCCCGAGGGCTGCCGGGCTGCCAGAGGGATGTCTGATTGCCAGCTTAGGCCCAATCCCCTGGGAGCAGGCCTAAGCCAGCAGTGGTCATCCTCCGAGGGGTCCCAGACTGCGAGAGGGCACAGGCCGGGCTGAGGGACCCTCCCCTCCCCCGCCCACCCCCCGCAAGTGCACAAATTTTTGTGTACCGGGCCTCTAGTCTTACAATATGCCTTGATGTACACGTTTTCCTCTTTGTTTAAGGCCCCAAGTCCCCAGTTATGTTTGGTCTTTACGATACTGGAGTAACTAGTTTGTCTCTGAGAAGATAAAAGAGACTAAAGGAAGAACTGGAGATTGATGGGAAATAGGTCAAACTGCCTTATGTCTATATTTGAGGTTACAGTGTTGCAAGTTGTAAGTGGTATGGAATCTAGAGGAAAATTATGATAGCGAGGATTGACTTGGTTAGAAAAATCTTCAAAACAATTATGTGACTTGGCTGTACCCCGGGGAGAGTATTCCAGGTGGGGAACAATGCGAGCAGCGTCTTGAGTGTGAAGTAGCAGGGTTTTCATTGGAATCTGGATGGATGGATTGGAAGGTTCATATTGGTGGGTAGCTATAAGAATGAGGAGATTGATCACGTAAGTATACATTTCCATGGATTTTAGTATATTCATAGGGTTGTGCAGGAATCATATCTAATTCAGGAGCGTTTTCATCACCCCCAAATGAAACCTGGTACCCATTAGAAGTTCCTTCCCATATGCACCCCCAGCTGTAGGTCACCTAAAACTACTCCATAGATTTGCCTTTTCTGGAGCATTTTATATAAATGGGGTCATAGAACATATGGTCTTTTGTGTCTGGCTTCTTTCAGTTAGCATAAAGTTTTTGAGGTTCATCCATGTTGTAGCATATATCAGTACTTCATTACTTTTTATATTCAATTGGTATTCTATTGTATAGATATACAACATTTGTTTATCCGTTTAGCAGATGAT